TTTTCATAAACTGGAAACTTAAAAGCACAAATACATCAAGTTTCTAGTAAAATTTGTGCAACAAATTATAACAAATTCATTTTCAAAAATTCTAATTGAATACTAAAAACCCAGGAAATGAAGGGAAAATCCTATTTGATAGCCATCTTCAAAGACATGGAAAGGGGCCAGCTCCATGGCCAAGTGGTTAAGTTTGTGCACTCCACTGCAGCAGCCCAGGGTTTCACAGGTTTGGATCCTGGGTGGGGACATGGCACCGTTCATTAGGCCATGCTGAGGTGGCATCTCACATGCCACAACTAGAAGGACCCACAACTAAAAAATATACAACAATGTACTGGGGGGATTTGGGGCGGGGTTGGGGTGGGGTGTGGTGAGGGAAGAAGATTGGCAACAGTTGTTAGCTCAGGTGCCAATCTTTAAAAAAAAAAAAGACATGGAAAGAAAAGGCTTAGAAGTCACAGTTCCTATACCTGTGACACTAACTCAGTACAATGAGAGGAAAGTCTCTACCTAGGAGACAGTGGAATTCTGTGTATAAGACAGGAGAAACTCAGTACAAACTGCACTAGACACAGAGAGCATTTTTTTAAATGGATTTCTAAAGTTAGAATATTGTTGAAAAGCTATAAAAATGCTCTGAAAAACACAGAAACACATATATACTATAGGAACTCTGCCCTATATCACACATAAAGGCAAGTTTATTTTTGTTTACTCACAGGCACTAATTACTTTAACTAAGGAGAATATTTTAATTAAGACAAATAATCAATATTACACATCTCTTGTCTAATCTAGTTAATGAATTTACTCTGTTACGTAACCACAATGTGTCTTAGATAGACCTAAAATTGGTGAAAAGACCCTTGTATAGTTTGTGGAACTCTTCTCAAAATTGCAGACTTTTAAGATAGATCTGAGGGATATTTCTATATTATCCTTTCCCTCGTGAAACAAACAATAGATACTGTCGTCAAAATTCTGTCAATATACACAATGGTTCATGAGCACCAGGTTCTAACTAACCTGCTGGACCATAAGGCACTTTCTAGACGCTACAACCAAACGATGAATCAGAAGGAAGACAACGGCCCTATTCTGGAAGGCTTACAATCTATTTCAACACTGGGGTTTTTATTTCATTGGTTAGCAAAATGCAATCAATCAAAAACTTTCTTTGAACATTCTGTAGTCATGACTCTACTTTCAGTGTAGTGACCAGAAAAGCCTTACGTATGATTTGTTTGATCAATTAGCAACAATCATCACCAGACGGTAAGTAATGCAGAAATTAACTAATAGCAATGCTTCTGCCCACATTACACCTAAAATAAACCCACACCGAGCTCTGCAAAGTAAATGAAGAGATGAGGTCCTCAATGAGGAAAAACCTGTAAGAAAGAAAATAAGCAAAGACTTGTTAATAACTGATTCATAGAGGAAGGAATAGAGTATGGTGGTTAAGAGAATAGATGCTGGAGACAAAACTGTGGGTTTAAATTCCCACATCACCACTAACTAGCTGAGACCTTGATCAAGTCAATGAATTTTTCTGCAACCCAGTTTCCTCATCTATAGACCGGAGATAACAACGGTGCCTATCTCCTAGAATTGTTCTGAGGATTAAACCGCTTTACAGGTAAGGTTTATACAAAACACCTTAGATCTTAGATATGACACCAAAAGCACAAGCAACAAAGAAAACATACATAAACTGGACTCCATCAAAATTTAAAACTTCTACCCTCTAAGAAAGTGAAAAGACAAGACAGAATAGGAGAAAATTTTTACAAATCATATATCTAATAAGGGACTTGTACCTAGAATATAAAAAGAACTTCTACAACTCAATAATAAAAAGATAAATTATTTAAAAATGGATAAAGGATCTGAAGAGACAATTTTCCAAAGAAAATATACAAATGGCCACTAAAGCACAGTGGAAAGATGCTCAATATCATTAACTATCAAGGAAATGCAAATCAAAACTACAATGAAATACCACTTCACAGTCACTAGGACAGCTATAATCAAAAAGATAGTAACCAGCGGTGGCGAGGATGTAGAGAAACTGGAATTCTCATACACTGCTGGAGAGAATGTAAAATAGTGCAACCACTTTGGAAAATAATCTGGCAGTTCCTCAAAAAATTAAACATTTAGAAACTAAAAATACACAACTATGTACCAGGGGGCTTTGGGGAGAAAAAGGAAAAATAAAATCGTAAAAAAAAAAAAATTTAAACATTTAGTTACCACATGACCCAGCAATTCTACTTCCTGGTCATATACATAAGAGAACTGAAAACATATGTCCATATAAAAAGTATACATGAATGTTCATAGCATCATCACTCATAATATTAATGATACCATCATACTCAAAATAAAAATAAAATAGTAAAATAATAAAAATAAAAAATAGTAATGATACCATCATACTCAAAAATTAGAAACAACCTAAATGTCCATCAACTGATGAATGGGTAAACCAAAAGTGGTAGATCCATACAGCGGAGTATTCTTCAGCAATTAAAAAAAAAAAAAATGAAGTACTGAGCCACGCTACAACATGGATGAACCCTAAAAACATTATTTTAAGTGAAAGCAGTCAGTCACAAAAGACCACATGTTGTATGATTCCATTTATATGAAACGTCCAGAATAGGCAAATCCACAGAGACAGGCAAGTGGTTGCCTGGGGAAATGGGCAGGAACTGCTCACGGGTACGGGGCTTCCTGTGAGGGGGACGAAAATGTCCTAAGATTGATTTTGGTGATGGGGGCACAACTCTTTGGAATGCAGTAAAAACCACCATACGCTTTAACGGGTGAATTGTATTAAAGCTGTTAAAAAAGAAATAAAAAGCACCTTTGCCTTCACGCAGTAAGTGAAGTAAGCAGACTGCTAATTTTTATTATAGGAAGAGGAAACTCCTCACAACTTGAAAACTGGAAAAGCAAATTTGAGTAACTGAAATTGGCCAAAAGTTCATTTCACTTGAAGCAGTGCTGGACGTACATGAAGTGTTCAGAAACGACAAGAAAAAACAGCTAGATGCCACGAAGCATCTGTTTCAAACACAGATCAACGGCTTGGAACCCTCCAAATGACTGGGGAGAAGCTTGGTTCTTAAAACACGCACGCAAGCCAGCACCAAAGACAAGGAAGCGCTTTTCCTTCTGGCCTTCAAAACGGTTGTGGGAAAAGCAGGCAGCAAAAAAAATCTACAACGGTTTGTTTCGAATAGTATATCTGTTTAAAACTCAAAAAGAAAAGCGATGTACTTGTGTGACAGCCTTACGCGGATGGGTTTTCTACGGGGCTGAACAATTTCACCACCCCCCGGAGAACGCTTGCTGTTCAGACTTAGGGATGAGGAGAAGCCCATCACATTGCTCCTGGGGGTTGTGAAGCGACTCCCCACCAACACGTTTACCAATGATACGTTCGCCAGGGTTTAAAAGCAGAGAAGAGATTAAGGCCTGAAAGACAGAGGAGATCTTAGTAAGTGAAGAAAAGCTGCGGGCAGTCCTGGTCCACAGGCCTCTCTGAGCGGAGGCCAGAAGGTGCCAGGCAAACTGGAGTGGCCACAGCGGGAACTGGAATGTGCGGGGAGAGCAGAGTCTCGGTTGTCTACTTGCTCTCCCTCGGGTAATGGAGACCAAGTCTACATTTTTCTAATTTGGGACCAATACAGAAGATGCCCTCAGACCCCAAATGCTGGTTCCTGTGTCCTCTCCCTGCTAGCCTCAACCTCTACGGCAAGATCTGATACATCCCCGAATGACAGGGCCCCACAGAACCACCTCACTTTTACTCCCAGCACTCTACACTTAATTTCATCTCTGTATAACCTTATTTTGAAAAATTTCAGAAATAAAAAATATTCTTTGTTTATCTCAACAGATGACTGATTTTTCTGATAGCTCTAAGCTTCTTCTACTTAGTATAAGCACCTAATTCTCCTGTAAGTAAGGTGCTCGACACACTGAAATTCAGTACTCTCCATCAGGCATACTTTCCACTGGCTAGAGTGGACTCAGTAACTTCTATTGGTCAAACACCAATCCATCTAACATCGATTTAACTGTTTATCGATTTCGGCCGGGGTCGGAGGTGGGGGGATGTCCTTCAGCCCCTTGGCCCACCCCTCCATTGTTTCTCATCAGCAACTCAGGTCTCCTGAAAACAAAACAAAGCACTGGTTTTGCTTCCTCTTCACTTTCCATAAACCTTATCAAGAAACATCAGCCTAGAGAAAGGACTCAACACAAATGTTCAAACAAAAATCTGCAAACCTAAAGCAATTTCATTTCAGAATCAAGATACACAAGGAAATGCAAGCACACGTGTTGTGACAAAGCATGTGGAAGCATGCCTATCTGATTTCTATTCTTCAGAGGAAGGAAGTTTTTCATTTTTTTATTATTTACCCTTTGTCATTGTTTCTGATTAAGCCAGAAAATAATAGAGCTCATTATGAAATAATTAAGCACTGCAATAAAAGAGATTTTTGCTGTATTAATTACAGAAGCTGTTAAGAGGGGAAAGGAAAACCCACCTCAGTAAAAAATGCAAAATTTCTTTCCCTGTTAAGAACACATATGCGAAATGCAGTAGAGAATTCAAATTCATGTTGAGAGGAGCATAAAGCATAGAATCAGAGCAAAGTCATTACTATGAATAAATTCAAAATTAACTAGACAAGCATGCTCAATGCAGTCAAAGAATTTTAAACGCACACTTCGCAAATCATTCACTTAACCATGCTGAGGAAGAATTTTCCTCTTCAACAGACAACATAAATCAACAGAGTGCCCCATCAAACAAAGACCAAACAATAATCAGGTTTTTTAACAATTCTGATTTAAAATTACTTAAATCAGAATGTTCCAAAGATCATCATCCAGAAATTTTAAGCATTCATTCACATCACCATGAAACAAGCACTTAAAAAAACAACCAAAAGAAACTGAGCACATAGATCATGTACCTGGGTCAATGAGAACTTCTTGTGCCCCTGGAAGAAAGAACAGATTATGGTCTTTTATTTGGAAAACAAAACTACTTTTAAAGATAACTACTAAATCACATTTCATAATTCATATAGCCTTGAAAAATCTGAGACACTTCCACCTGATCAGAAAAGTAATTCTGAGTAACAGTATGTTACAAGTTCAGTGCCTTTTTGCTTTAGAAGGAAAGAAAAGAATACTATTCCTCAGATCCTGCACAATAAGTGCCTCCTTGCCTCTTTCTCTTGCCACTTTCTACACTCATGCTCCCCAGCTCTTCTTAAACAAGCATGAGAATATCTTAATTCCACACATATGCCAAATGGCAAAGGAAGAGTAATTCATTTGCGCAAATATATGAAATATATGCTCACACCTTGAAATAGGGGATAAAAGGTACCAGAGGTTAGACAGAACTTATCACTACCCTCCTAAATTTCACACTTGCACATGCACACACACACCCTCACGCACACCCACACAATGAATTACTGGACATTTCACAAGCTAAAGATTTCCAACTTTGAGAAGATAGCTTTGTAATTAGCTTAAAATACAAAATGGTTAATCTCATTATTATCAAGAAGCTTTTGAAAGTCTTGATCATCTGCTAAACTATCCAAATATCAATGATATTTGATCCAATCAGCCTTCTCTGTAGAATGTAATTTCCCAAGATGCCAAAACACACCCTAAGAGTTTCTGGTTCCAAGAGTCATGTTTATCATTAGCTATGATCATTTTTAGACACATTAACAAGAATCAAAAAGGTATGTCCCAATAACAGATATTCTTACTGAAATAGCGTATCCATTCAATTGTCTATATAGGGAACAGGCCCCATGATCATGGTCCTATTTAAGAGCTATTTTGTGTATGTCAATCTCTATTTTTAAATGCAGACTAAAAATCACTGCACTCTATAGAAGCCACAATTCTAATAAAAAACAGGTGCTTGCTATTGAATACCAACTATACGCCCAGCACAGTGCTCGACAACCATCAGGTGTGGTTCTCAGAGCAGCCCCACAAAGTAGACCGGGATGATGGACCCCGCTGCAGAGGGAGAATGAGGCATGCTCCACCGCCCCACTCTCCACGATGCCACGCCCACGACACGAGCTGACAGATCTGAGCTGAAGAGACATGCAGCCATGTGGAGCCTTGGGGGACTCTGGGTTTCCAGATAACCCTAAAAGCTTTTTGTTCAGTGAATAACCCGGTCACATAAATTATCCTGTGCCATGTCCTTTAAATAGGGAATACAACTGAAACTTTTTGATGCCTCAGAGTCATTATCACAATCATCAATTATTTGACCTCTCAGCGTCCAGTAAGGAACTGGGCCCCATGCTAAGTGCACTCAGATTACAGGGCTTTTAAAGCTATTTTATTCAATTTGTAAAAATCTCTCCTGTCTCATGCCTCACACAGGCAGTTGACTATCATTCTCACTCGAAACAACCCCTTTCGGCTTTTTAAATTCTCCTCATCTAATCCAATGTGGATCTGTAAGCCACCTGGCCCAGATAATTTTTTCAAAAACCAAAGAAAAAGTTCAACCATGAAAAAATGGACAGCTTTTTACCAAATGGACTTTCATATCTAATTGGCTTCCTGGAAGCCCTTTTTTTTATTGAACTCACTTCCAGGTACTTAATAGTTTTCTGATTGGTGCGAGTAACACATGGACGTTGCTATCTGATTATGTGGCCTACTCAGAAGGCTTCTTAAAAAAAATAAAATAAAAAATTTTTAAAAAGAAAGCTTCCTGTCTTGTGTGGGTGGGAGGGGGAATAACAACGAGTGCTGTTTGAAGAAATCACACGATGAGAAGGAGGGGCACCCTCCAGCCAGGTCTCCACAGGCAGAAGCACCTTGATGTGCTCAGATATGTGGTGATCAGCACCATTCGGCTCCAATGAACTAATTTCACATTAACCAGACTCATCGGAAAGTGATGTAAGACAACCAGAGGCTTAACTTATTAATGTAACAGGAGACAAAAAATTATCAGGCAGAGTTCAACAATCGGCACATCTTCTCCCCACGGCACCACCACAGGCAGGAGGCTGTACGGCAAGCATGGACAGAAGCAGATCGAGCGGAGTTTTCTAGATTAATTTGACGGACTGAACTTCTGTTACAGGGACAGACCTGCTGCCTAGACAAACGACTGATGCTGATCACAGTGCAGTCTGCGTGGACCACGGCCCAGACCAACTGTGAACACTTGTGTAACTCTCCCTTTCCTGCCCTCTCTAGGCTGGCCAACCCCCTGCCTGATGCATAGATGTACATATAGATCTACAGACATGCTGATACTACTGAACCCCCAAAGCCAATCTCTGGGGGCCTGGAAGCCAGACTGCCAAGGTTTAAATCCCAGCTCTGCCACTTCCTAGCTCTGTGACCTTGATCAGGTTACTCACCCTCTCTGTGCCTCAATGTCCACATCAGTAAAATTGGGATAATAACCAAACCTACCTTATTGGGTTGTTGTGAGGATTAAAAGATTAAATCAGTTTATATAAAATGCTTAGAAAAGTCTGTAGCACGTTTTAAGTGCTCAACAGATGTTAACTATTAAGGTGATTTTATAAATCTCCATTCCAATTGTCTTTTGCATTTCCTTGCTAGTCCACGTGCTAAAGGATAGCCTTATTTCCCTATTTACCAATTCTCGGGAAGCGCCTTTCTGTCCATCCCGGGACCTCTTTAAACTGAGGCAAAGGGACACTTCCTCCCTGTTCCTCTGGTTTCCACGAGGAAGGCCTTTCCCTCAAAATTCCTGACTCGGGACGTGGAGGAGCCGAGCACCCTGGGTGCTTCCTGAGGGTGCCCTGCACCCGAGGGAACAGGAAGGGTTTCACATGCCCTGCTTGTCTCCCAAACTCCCTAAACTCATAAATCACTCCATTACGCGAGGAGGACTAGCAGTGGGAGACAAGCTGGACACGTCTCCCACCTCCACGCCCTGAGTATGACAGCGGCAGGTCCTCTCATAGGACGGCCTGCTGTGGCCCAAAGCTGCCTGGGACTGGCTGAGTCTGTCCAGATCCTGGATAGAGAATTAAGTTACCCATTTTCCTGTATCCCTAAAGTTCACGGAGAATGTGGCCTTATCAGTAATAAAGGTGACATTTACCTCCACCTGCCTACTCTTTTGTCTCATCTCTCAATTGCCTGGTGGAGAAAATTGGACTGTAATTATTGGGCCCCCTTAACCCTCAACGTATACTAATTAACTATAATTCAATGGTTTCACGTAGGTGCAGGGTGGCTGCACAACGTCCCTCTCTCTGATGCTGCTGCTAAATCACGAGTATAGGAACTACCGATCCTCTTCAAAGATTTCACTCATTTCTTAACTGAATTTTTCCTGATAAAAATCATATTTTCCTATTTTAATTTCTTAGTAACCAAAGACTATAAAATCATGGCTTCATACAAAATAATAGCTAAATTTTGGGAGATCTTTTATGAAACAACCACTGTTCTAAACACTTTACTTAATTTCTCTCTAATATTGACAATTCTACAAAGACAATATTAGCATTCCCATTTTACAGACAAGGAAAAAACTGAGAAAGAACTGACTCAAATTTGCATGACTGCACACTCAAACCCAAGTCAAAAGACTGGGCTCTCTCCACGATAGCAAATGACCGCCCATTAATTAACATACAACAGTAAGTTCAATACTCAGAGAGTTCAATTCGTTTTTCAGCTTTAAGGTGCTCCAGAGACCTTTTCTATCTTTTTTATAAGATCATGGCTGACTGGTTTCTAATATTGGAAGAAAAGTCTAATTTCGCCATTGTTCGCACAGCAAGTCTGAAATTTTCACGCTGAGATGAGAGAATAAAAATAAGATATAACTAGAATACTTTTTCTAGGTATCCAGACATAATGGACATTGTGCTATGCTGAAGCATTAAACAAAGAAATCAAATTAAAGGAACGTTGTCTTCTTTTACAAACAGGAAAATTGACTTTTAAAAGTGCAACAGCGCCACCTATGGCCAAAAAAGGCTTCCCAAGTTGCTGGAAAAGATGCAACCAAAAAATTGGCTGCATATAAGCAATGATCAGTAAGGATTTTAAAAATAGGATGCTCAGAGACCATAACTAAAAGCTTAGCTAGCACATACTGAATTCTACTTCAGGGAAGGGAGTGGAAGTCAGTACTTAATCTTAAATCTTTAATGATGCTGAATATAAACAAAAAACACAGGATCATGGTAACTAATCTTAGAACAGGAAGGAATCTTAGGCACTCAGTCCAGCCTCTTCACTTTACAGATAGAGGGGTGAGACCCAGGGAATCTGTCCTTCTAGCAAGCTGTAGCAAAGCTTACTCCTACACCTTGTCTCTTGCACTATACCAAAAACCAAGGGATCTATACTAACCCTATATTCATAAAAGTCACATCTGCATTTTTCCAATAGTGGGAAGTCTAAGTCTTGCAAAATACTTCCCAAAGGGCTAGTAACTACACAACACACAATTTTATTGAAATACAAAAACGTTTATTGACATATTAAAACAGCATGAGCTCCCTTTTATTCTCTCTATAAAGGAAAAGTGACAGATGTCGAATCAACAGTTTAATTTTTTTTAACCTACTAAGGTACAGAAAAAAAATCAAAATTTTCTTCAATCACCAAAGAGATAAGCTTATTCCCTGAAAACAGCTCAATATCAATTTTTCTAAACTTAATCGCTATGGTCAAATTCCTAGTGATTTAAAGGTTTTAGTGGACGATTACATGGCAATATGAATTCTGAATTGTAAAAATATACATTCTGTACACATAATATTTAAGTTCTTCTGCTTAAGGCAATTTAGCTATTCCCTATCCTACTAGAATGACACTGATTTCATCAAAATTTCATATCACACTAAAAGAAAGTAACTGAATCCTTATCACTTTAAATCATATTCATATATATCATATGCATATACGTGTTGAATAAGCACCAGAAATAAATCACCCTCTTCAGTATTCAAACTTGCTGCTTCTAAACAATCTATGTCATTGTGATGGCGAATTTTTATTGAGCACCTCTTAGGGGCTTTACATACATAGTATCTAACTCTCACAACCCTACAAGGTAAATAACATTATTCTAACTTCACAAATGAGGAAATATACTTAGGCCATAAGTACAAAGCTGACAAGTCCCACGTCCATAAAACTTATATATTCATCATCAGGAAAGAAAAGAGTATAGATTTTTACTTTCGCTCAACATTCACTGAATTAATCTTTTCTTCCGTACTAAAGACTACATAAAACCAATTCAGTCTTTATCACTTTTTCTCTCAACAAGCATCACTAGAGAAAAACAAGAAGTAAGTCATTAGCAATGGTAGATTTTCAAAACCCACTGCTCTTTGCATTGTAATTTTCTGTGCTTACAGAATTGAGAAAACAAAAAGATACTAACTTTTTAGTTTTTTTAGCTGAGAATAAAACATTTGTGAAAATGCACAATTTTAATCTATGCAACTCTATCTCATATTTTCACTGATAGCTCTTCTTTTAAGACCTTCTCAGGCTGAGACCACTAAAATCTGTCATTTACGAACTCACAGAATTTCAGAATACCAGTCAATGGGAGGCTGATTAGAGGAGCAATTAATGCATACTGTGCAGTCATACCAACCTGGGTTCAAGTCCGGAGCCTTCAAGCACGTGATTTGGGGCAAGTTACCTCATCTCTAAACCTCAGTTCCTCACCTGCAAAAAGGAGGCACTGATACCTACCCTCAGATACCTGTTCTGAGGTAAAACAGGAAGCATTTGGCACAGCCGCTGGCCTATGGTGGGTGCCGAATAATTCATGGCTATGTTGATAATTATGATGATGGTGATTACTGTTAATAAACTAAGATAGACCATAAAGGAGAAATAGTTACATGTCAAGAAGCATTACCTTTTGGACTGAGTGCAGAATGTCCTATTGGTTTTTTTCATAAACCAAGTTCTGTCTGTTAATTATAGACTTACAGGTTCATATACAAGTCCCCAGAAAAAAGAATTAGTGGCTTCTAACCTTTGAATACTAAGAAAGTAAAGTTCAAAAAAAAAAAAATTAAAACAAAAGGAGAATTAAAGCAAAAAGAGTTAGGGACTACAGAATTCTTTTTGAAACTAAGATGACTCAGTTTTAAGAGGGAAAAAAATCTCTTCTCAGAGGAAATCTGCTTGAATACTATGTCATCTGGATCTGAGATATCTAGAGTCTTTTAACACTATTCATGAACTCATACTACCAAGTCTTAAAACAACTTGAACAATCAACAATAATAACAATAGTATTAATAATAGCTGCTAACATTTATCAAGTGCTGGCTAGGATTGTTCTAGGAACTTTATATGTGTCTCTCGTTCACAAGAACCCTATAAGTTACTATTGTTATCTTCCTCATTTTACAGATAAGGAAATTGAGGCACAGGGAAATTAAGCAACTTGTTCCAGGTCACGCTGACATTAAATGACGCCTGTATTTCTTCTGTTTTGCTGTTGAAAAAGGAACCTGAGATATAAATTCAAGGAAGAATGTTAAATAATTAGTTTGTCTGGTCTTCACCTCAGATAGTAGACGCCATAAATTCCTGATGTAAGACGAGGTTGCCACTACAAACTGAATAATCTTGAAATTAATTATCCAAGATGAAGTAACATATCTGTTCACGCTGTCAAGCCCATTAATGCATCTGGACCCCCCACTGCTGGAAAGGGAGTAACACTATCACTGATGTAAGGAGATAAGCGCTCTCTCAGCTCTAGTCTGGGTTTCACTGGAGGTTTTCCCCAAAGACGGTCTCCAACAGTAAAAGTTCTCAAGGTTCTTACACTATGTAAAGCTAAATAAAGACATTTCTCTACTATAGACAGAGCAGTTTTTCAAAAAAGCTTAAAACTGTTTTTGTCTACACTCAGCAAGGGGCAAAAATGAAACACTTTCCAAGACTCTCGAGTCTCACTAATCACATCCACAGAACAGCCTCGGTGCATTATAACTCTTCAGATCACAGGGGACAAAAAACAACCTCCAGCAAAAGGACGCCCATGGAGAGCACAGAAAACTCTCTTCTAAAGAGAACATAAGGCACGTTTTCACCTCTCTGAGTGTGCTGGAGATTTTAGCATCTGGTCACTGACTAGAGAAGACAATACGACTTAAAACGCCGTAATCTCATACCAGAGACAGCACTTATAACGACAAGGAATAACACAGGTGGTGAACACTGACGGAACATCTCAGGTCAGAACCAAAGCTCAGGAAAGGCAGGAGCTGAGAGATCCTCAACCTCAGACTTTCTATGTCACTTCTCAGCCTGCTTTACTTTCCTCCCAAATAACTGAGACACCACTGAAACCATTAGGAATGCTGTGCTGAAGAGCAATAAAATATCTTCGAGAACCATTATAGATTCATCTAAGCAGTTCTACAAAGAGCGCGCCCAGATTCAGACTGTGCGGCTACTGTAACTGGTTCGGAAAGGCCGGCTCTGCATTCTTTGCTGGTGATAGGGGATGGCATAATGCAGGAAAAAAAGAAATTTAAGGCTCTTCCCCAACCAATACATGCCAACTACCGTAGGCTTTCTCTTTGAGGAAAAAGGTATCTAAAAATCTCATGGATTAAAAAACACCTGGCAGTTTTGTGTATAGCCTTGATCTCTGCATTCTATGTTATTATCTTTGTGATCTGTGCAATATGACAACTATATCCTGGCAAGTTCATTCATTAACAGTCAAAAGGGTCAAGTTTATTCAACAAGCATTTGTGGGTCTGCTCCTCCAAAGAAGACTTTTCACTCTTCATTGGTGCTAACAAACATAAGCAAATCAAATTTAACTCATTAAGAGAACTTCAAGAACCAGGAAAATAAGAAACAGCCCCCAGGCCCTCATTTAGCTATTAATCATAATTTTCATAACTCACAGAAATTATAAAAAAGACCCAGAAACAGAACTTCAAGGTTGGTCTACCATGAAATTTTATGCAAGTTTTCCAGGAATCAACCAATCATTGTACTCTATTAACATTATTCAATAAGATTCAAGAAGATCAATAAATATCCAATAAAATCAGAAGAAAATGTCTCATGTGCAAGATTTCTGATTCAACCGATTTTATACTTTAAACAATAGTCAGCTTTAACTCAGAGGGACAAGTAGTAAATTACTCCCACTTGCAAGACCGTAGATGAGGCCAGGTCAGAGGAAAGAGCGGAGCTTACCCGGTCGATGTCTGTTGGCTGCTTCAGCAGGAAGAGAGCTGCCCTGACACCTTCGAGCTCCAGTCTTACCACCAGTTCCAGCAGGATAGTGATAGATGACAGAAGCTGAACATAACCCTTCAAGGGCAGCTGGGCATTAAAAAAAAAAAAGTACAATTAGTAAAGTTAGTGGCCCATCATTAGCTCAAATTGCAACGGCTAAGAATGATTTGAACAGATAATGTGGAAATGCCAATTTTTCCCCAAAACAAAGATCTCCACACACCTTCTTTAGGAACCCTACCAACCCTGGTGACCACTCTCTGGGTGTGAGGTACACAAGTGGGTACCATGCCTTCTGGATAAGTACCTGCTGCAGAGGCCCTAATGCTATAGCTCGAGGGGATATAGTTATATTCCACCAATCAACAACAGGTATTTATAGACTTCTCTTTCAAGAAAACTAAGTAAAACTCATATTCTGTCTTTCTCACCCTGCTTAACCCTTTATCTCTTTCTTTCTTTTCCGCCATCTCTTCCTAGTTCTCACTCCTTCTCTTTCCTACTTTTATTTCTCTATCCTCTTTAAGAAGCCAAATTATGAAACCTAAGTCCACTTTAAATATTCTTATATTTAATGTGTTCTACAGCACATTGTTAAGCTTCCATCAAAGAACTTTCTTGGTTACTTCACTCTGACTTGTATTATCATAAGTGACCGACAGACTAAACCGCTTCCTCAAGGAAAGAACCCTACTTTAATTCTTACTCACACAACATTCATTTAACAAGAATTTATGGGACATCTACAATATGCCAGATGATGGAGACACACAGACCATGCCTCCCACTCCCATGAGACAGTCCCTGAAGGAGAAAAACAGCTAAATACGCAATTCCAGCACAAAGGGTTAGCTCCATAATAGACAGAGTTCTGTACACCCTTTGCCTGGAGGGGTCATAAAAGGCTGCCCTTTGAAGTAGGTTTGTTGTTTTGTTTTGATTTAGTTTTTCAAATTGAGATATAATTCACATACCATAAAACTAACCCACTTAAAAGTGTACAATTCAGCAGTTTCTAGTATATTCACAGTTGTGCAATCAGTACCACTACCTAAATTCCAGAACATTTTCATCACCCCAAAAGAAAGCCCAAACCCTTTAGCAGTCACTCCCCAGCCCTCCTCCACCCAGGCCCTAGCAACCTCTAATCTGCTGTCTGCCTCTGTACATTTGCCTGTTCTGGACATTTCAGATAATTGGAATCATAGAATATATGGTCTTTTGTGTCTGGCTTCTTGTACTTAGCATGATTGTCAAGGTTTGTCCATGTTGCAGTGGTATCAGTATTTCATTCATTTTTAACATTCCACTGAACATTTGAACATTCCTGAGTAACTGTACAGATATATCACACAGTGTTTCTCCATTCATCAGCTGATATACAGATGAAGAATGAGTGTAAGAGGTGACAGATGTAGGGAATGGTATTCTAAGCAGAGGACAAGTTGTACTAAAAAACAACGAAGGAACAAGGAGAGGCAGTGGGTTTTCGAGGAAGTACATGCGGGTTTCAGCAGGACTGCAGTGCAGGCCTGGTGGGGAAATGGCAGGAGATAAGGCGGGAAGTTACCCCAGGCGATGCCCACAGCAACCAGCGCAGCTGACTGCTTCTCCTCCCTGATCTTTTATTTTCAGAGCTATTTTTTCTGTTTTCTCTTATTTGAAATAACAGCTGCCATAATTATATATCTGATCATTTTCATCAGATAATCTTACCTCCAAGCCACAAAAAGTCATTCACTGAGCGGAGAAGTTCCACCGACATGTGGTAATGTACCAAGGAGTCCTGCAGCATCCCGGCCTGAAGACATAAGTCCCCCACATGTTTCCGCATGCGTCCTTGGCATCTCTTCTTGTAATGTCTAAAAAATAAAATGCACGGAAATGAATCACTGTTAATGCACGGCTTCTACCCCAAAAGTACACTGGCTAAGCACTATTCAACTCTCTCACTACAAAAAAATTGCTAAGAAGGCAACATTAGGCTCTATAATTGAAAGCCAGAAACTAATCATTGCCAGGTACGTGAGCTGGAAAGGTCCTAACTTCAAAAACTACTGCCAAGTTATTTTCTAAACGTAATAGGTACCTAGGACTTCTACCATACATTTCACTTAGACAATAGTAGGTAGGATTCCTCTTTCCAAATTTTCCAATTGCAACATTAGCACAAGAAAGTTTATGTTTCAGCTTTTTAAAAAATCAATTATCTTCCAGTTTCTTAACTTGAAACCTATTATTATTTTATAAAGAGAGCTATGTGGCATATTATAAGCCAACCACTTGGTTTTTGCAAACAAGACCTCTATCTTCAGTATTTCAGAGCAAACTTTAATAATGCTTTGAGAGGGTGGGGCCTGAGCACTCACCAACAGCTCTTTAAATATTGGCAAGGATGTGGTATTAAATAATGCAAAGGTTTCTAACTCCCTATCAACTCAGAAACCAAAGAAACTATGCCGAAATCTTCCTTTATCAATTTTAAATATTCCTATTCTTTTTAATATTGAATTTCCTAAAAGATACGATTTTTTTCTAAGAAAAATAGCACCTGCATTAAACTTTCCCTGACCAAGAAAGCAATCTTATCAAGAATAAAAACCCCAATAGAAATCCAAAAGATGAGAAGTTTCTAGCTATTTTCTTTTTTAAAGATTGGCACCTGAGCTAACAACTGTTGCCAATTGCCAATCTTTTTTTTTTTCTTTCTGCTTTTTTCTCCCTAAATCCCCCCAGTACATAGTTGTATATTCTAGTTGTGGGTCTTTCTAGTTGTGGCACGTGGGACGCCGCCTCAACGTGGCCTGATGAGCGGTACCATGTCTGCGCCCAGGATCCAAACCATCGAAACCCTGGGCCGCCATAGCGGAGTACACGAACTTAGCCACTTGGGCACGGGGCCAGCCCTGAGAAGTTTCTAGCTAAATGAATGTTATTGACAGACCTCAATGCAGAGTTAAATCCCATCATATCTAACTCGAACGAGCTCAACACACTCTTTGGCTACCCTGGAACTTAGCTTTTCTGTTCCAAATGTTGGGTGAACTAGGATTATCACATAAGGCAGAGAGGGAGAGAAGAGGGAACACCAGCGTCCATTTGTTTTCTTCCAAGCCACACAGCAGTGTCAGGACAGCCGCACCAACAAGCCTTCCCATAAGAAAACACTACAGCTGTACTGCCCCTGCCATGCCCAACCAGGCCCCCCACACCTCTCTCTCCCAGAGGTCACCCCAACAGCCTTCTAATGATCTCTCCGACCCTCCCCATTCTGTACCAGCCCTCCCCTCTGTCCCTACTGCCTATACACACACACCACACACCCCCCACATGCACACACACCACACACAACCACACACCCCTACCACACACACATACACACATCACACACATACACACACACTCCCCACATGCACACACACCACACACACATATACACATCACACACATACACACACCACACACAAATACATTCACACACTACACACATACACACACCACAGACACACACCATATGCACACATATATCACAGCCCACATACACACACACACACACACACACAGTTGGAGTGGCCTTCCCAAAGCACAAATCTGATTATGTCACTCCCCCACTTCAAACTCTTCAAGCGCTCCCCAACACAGCCCTAGCCCCCTCCCACGGCTCCCGCCTCCCCTCCTAGCACCGCCCCCTGCCCTCTCCAGCCTTCCTCCAGTACCAGAGTCCCCAGTGACCTCAGGTTCCACCTGACCCTTTCTGCCTAGCTACTTCCCACTCTCCTGAGGGCTCATTTGGACTACCAGTTTCTCAGGGAAGCCTTCCTGCCTCCGGCCTCTGCACTTTGGGTTAGGGGTGCCTGCTGTGTTCCTGGAATATTCTATGCTGAATCACCTTCTGACATTTGTAAGCTCCAAAAAGGTCAGTATACTTTGTTTACTGTTGTGTGTCCATCCCTCTCCCCTGGACACTCAGCCGTGTCTGTTATGAGTAAACAAATGAATAGATGGGTCTCAAAAGGGACCAAGAAAACCAGGATTACCTCTCCTAAAGGTCCCTCCCTGCTGACATCCCTCACAGCCTCCCTCTGTTGTCAGTTTTAAAAACCAAGTTCCTGCAAAGCCCACATGACCAGGCCCTCTCCTGATAGGCGTCCTCCTCAGCAGGAGCACGCCCACCCTGAACTCCGGGAGATGGACCACTTAGAGCTTTTCAGCACAGGGTGCTCGCCCAGGCCCCACCCCACAAGCCTCCAGGCCTCTGCCCAGGCTGCTTCTGCCACCTGAGCCACCATCCCTGCCCTTCACCTGGCTGACTCTTACTCTGCCTTTAAAACTAAATGCAGAGGGCTCTTGCTGCAGGAAATCTTCCCTGGAGATGTCCTGTAGCTCTCAGCTGGGCTGCCCTCCACAACAGGATTGCAGTCACTATCCGGGTATCTGTCCATCCCTCCGTTAGGACCATGAACTCTCTGAGGGCACTTGGGAAGAGGAGAAAGAGAAGAGGGGAGGAAGGAGCCAAAAGCCAAATCACAGCCCAAGTCCCTAATGTGAGGACTTTCACTTATGTGTCACACGCCACTGGACTCATCAGGGGAAAAGGTCCCCCAAACAACTGTGAAAGCATCTTACTCTGACAGCAACATAATGCACTGTGTAGGCATTCTTTATCTTCACCTGATATAAAATGATAGCAGAGAATAATATAAACTGCACAGAACTTCAGGGAATGCGCCCCCTGGACTTAGGAGGAACAGAATATTACTACATCCAACTCACAGAAAGGCAGTTCCTGTGCCTCTCCAGCCCCAAGGTGGACCACGCTTAAGTTCAGAAGCCTCTAAGGCTTACTTTGCACTCACGCATCATTTACAACCAGGTCACGGTTGAAGTGAAATGAAAACACACGTCTCTGGGACATAAAGCGCTTCGATGCCACCTAACCATCAAAAGAGCCTGAGCTTCGTGAAATAGACCTGCAGCACTTCAATGAGGGACGTTTTTCTGAGAGGTTTCAAAACTGATCTACTTTATCATTACAACTCTAACAGGGAGGTAACAGAATTCATAGAGAGAACAGGCCCGTGTTTGAATTCTGCTTCAGCATTTACTAGCTGTGTGAGGCTGGACTAATTACTTAACTTCTCTGAGAATGCTTCCCACTCTGCAAAATGGGTCTGCCACCGGCCACCTCGGATGGCACTGATACGACGTGAATGAAGTACGCTGGCAGGACGGCTGACTGGTGCCTGACATAGAGTCCTGTGGGTTCCCACCTCGCTCCCCTCCTCCTTCAGACTTGTATTGCTCCCCTAATAAGTATCAAGCCCCTGTGACAGACTGTCCTATGCATCTTGTATCCACCTAGTACAGTGCCTTACACTTAGAAGGATCAAAAAAGAACTGTTTCCTTGATAGAAGCTATCAATGTTCTTAAGAGGTTTGTTTTTAAGTCTAATTTTGGGGAAAAGACTATTCCAGAACTATCCAAAAATCCTTCTACATGTCAGCTCCTCTCTCCTCAGGCCCCTATCCCATCTGCCTTTTGTTCCATGGAAAAGACAGTCCACTCGGCTGGGACCCTCCTCAGGCCCTTCCCCCCGCCTCCAGGATGAGGGGCACTCCGTCTTCTCCTCACTCCCACGCGACTCCAGCTCCTGAGGAGGCTGGCCTCCTCCGTGCTGCTGCCAGAGTGATCTTTCTAAGATGCAAATCTGCCCACATGATTGCCTTCAGATTTCTTTAGCAACTGCCCCCCACCCCCAAGCACCTTTAGGATGAATAGCAGCTGCTCCTAAAATCCCAAACTCCTTAGAATACTACGAAAACCTCCACGACCTGGGCTTTCCTCCGACCCCCCTGGGTCACATCAGAGTACCCAGGGATCAGCCCTGGACCTTCCTCCCGCCTTTGTCTACACCTCTCTAGATGAGCTCATCTACAGTCACAGTTTTAAATACAAGCTAAATATTGACAACTCCCAAGGTATACCTCTGGGCCCGCTCCTTCATCTGAGCTCCAGGCTCACAAATCCAACTGCCTCTTTGAAATTGTCACTTCAATGTCTAACAGGCATCTAAAAAACATGTCCAACACTTACTCTGCAATCTGATACCCAGCAGGTACCTCCCAGTCTTCCCCTTTTCAGTAAGCAGCCCCACCACATGCCCAGGTGTTCCCGTCAAAAGCCCAGGTGTCATACCTGACTCCCTGTTTTCCTCACCGTCGCCCCCACACTGAAATCAGTGGCAAGTCCTGTCATTTCTGAAGTATACCCCAGCTTTGGTCCCGCAGGACCACCACAGGACACAACCAGCTCACAGCAAAAGTGTGCTGAGTCATGGTCCTCTGGAGGGTGCTCACTGAAGAGGGATGTCTCTCCGGGCACCCGTTACTTGGGGAAGCCACTTGAGACCCACACAGGAGGCCAAGAGGACGGTCCAGGAAAAGGAACTCATGGTTCTCCCATGGTCTGAACTCCGGAGGGTCCGAGGTCTAGGAGAGCTCCCAGTGAGAGGACACACCTGCCATAGGTGAGCAGGTGAGAACGGAAGGACCCAGGGAAGGCTATTCTCCCAGTGATGCCCCCGGATCTAGTAAGCAACGGGAAAGGCCCTGTGGTCCAGGGCGTCACCCAGCCATCACAGGGTCCCTGCCCTCCATTTTCAAAGCCAGACAGCTTCAATTTCTTGTACTTGCTACACTTATTTCTGTTTTGTTCCCCAGAACACGCTGGAATCTTTCAGAAAGTCTGGCCTGTCTCAATGGAGACAAAGTAAGTGAAGCATGAAAGTGATAACATTTGGAACAGATCATTAAAGGAAAAACAAGGCCGTCTGGCCAGCATGGTGGTGGCAGCAAAACTTTTCCCCATGAGTGAGATGGACCAGGGGGAAGAATACGAGGCCCTAGGTCAGCCAAAGATTCTCCCCTCAGGGCTACCCTGGGTGTTGGAGTTTCACTACTGCAAACTAATGACATGCCCATCAGTGATGGACATTAGGCTCAACAATTACAGAAATAGCTATTTCTTCCCAACGCAGGGTTAAAAGTAAAAGCGGGAACAGGTAAGGGCCTGCAGATTGCCAAGGGGGGCCTGAGGGGGGCCTAAGGTGGGCCCCAGAGCTGACTCTGAGCATTACTGGCTAAGGCACATAGGGAATGGCAGTCAGTTACAGAGGTCCTGTGTCCACAGATCCAAACACACTAGCTATTTAGGAGACGGCCTTATTTTCCTGATCCTTGGAGAAGTCACTGTCATAAAAGGGGCAAAAGACTGGTATAGAGTTGAGAATAGCCTCTGTCCCTTTACGAAGGAAGGTGGCTACGGTGAAGTCAAATCAACGGCATGCTTGAGGGGAAAGCAAAAGAAAATCTGGTAACCGCTTCTTCCAACAGCGTCCCTTTGAGGCCAGCATAGTCTCGCACTGGCCACACCTTTACCAGTGACTGCTGGTCGATAAGCACCATCATGCACATCACACAGCAACAGCCAAGAATCACGTGCCTAATGCGTTCATTTAAAAGCCAGAATCAAGCAAGGCACTGTGGTCTTAGACTTTCCGAGTTAAAATAGCCCGTGAAAAATCCCTCTGCAGCCGCCTAAATCAATTAGCATCTCATGTCCTCAATACAAACAAAAAATTAATAAAGGCTCATTTGTCACCAAATACTAAGTAAGACAAAACAAGTTCCCCAAAGCAAGTATTTTAACAGACATCAAACACCAATAGGTTATGCACTAAAAAAGCTAAAATTTTTAAGAATTAGAAAATAAAAAGATGACCAATATAATAGATGGATCTAAGCAGCAGTAAGTTTTCATTTTTTAAAGCAATGGAGGCAATGGGAAGGCAGCGCATAGGGAAATCTAGCTATTTTCAAGGCAATATGTTCACAGCCTACCTTTTCAGACCCAACAACACACTCACAGGGCGGTATGATAGAAAAAAAAAAGGAAAAGAAAAGAAAGAGGAACAAGCAAAAATTAGAAACACACAAGAACAAAAATAACTTCGACAGCTACAGCACTATGTGTACGAGAATTCACCGGGGGCTTTCATGAGCTGGGTCTTATGTGAACCCTGAAGTAAAACCCACCCACCCCCAGTGCTCCTGGGACGTCGGCCCACCTGCCATGGGGCCCATCAGTGTGGTCAGTGCATCAAACCAAACTACATCTAGAGATTTCCTTTCAAGCTGCAAAATACGATCTCATTTCAGGTTGGACACTTTTTATCACTCCTACCAAGAGATGTACGAGAGTTAGGCTCCGTTCCTGCACCAAATCTTTTGAAAAACTAGAGAAGTATGGAGCCTTGAAAGCAACAATGATTAACAGAGATTAGAGGAGAAGGTGCTTGATTTGAGGTCACTGGTGTCATTATCCCACTGAAGTTCAAATGACGGCTGAGTGTTTACAGTACAGCTAGAATAGAAAGGACCCACTGGGAGGGAGGGTTAATCCACTGCTGTGTTTCCAGTGCCTAGAGCCGTGCCTGGCACCTGGAGGCTCTCGATAAACACTTGTTAATATTATTAGCCACTACGCACCAGGCACGGTGTCCCGAAACAGTCTTCCTACTCCCGCCAAATTGTGAGCACAGATTTAAAAAGGCAAAACAAGCTGGGATTCTCTGGTGGGTCTGCAACCTCAAAGCCAACGAGTCTCTGAGCCAAAAATGTCACCAGCACCAGAGGAGTAACAAAGGAGAGGGCACTAGTGGTGCACTGTGCAGACCCACTTTCTAAGGGATGACGACCACCGGTGCCTGCCCCGCCTGATGGCCCAGGAGGCCCAACAGGTGAGGTAAAAGGCTTTTGAGGTGCTCTGGTGCATACAGCAGCTTTGTCCCTCAGCAGCTGCCCAGGCCCCTAAAACTGCCCCCTCAAATCCAAGCAATAAAAGGGGGGCGCTGGCAATGCAGATCACAGGGCCACTGCAAGGATTAAGTACAGGTCGTGGGTATGACATGCCTTGTCCTTTCCCAAGGCCACATAAACATGTCCGGGTAAGAAAATAAAAATTACTCCAGACCCTGCAAAGTCACACATGCAGGTGTGACTTGTGCTACTCGGTGCTTCTTACTTGCAGGGCTGGCCTGGGCCTATTTTTTTCTCAACTCTGTGACATCTTCTCCTCCGACTTACCAACACCCAGAAAGTCAGTGTTTGATCTTAGGTAAATTCAAGAAACATACTGAGGGCCTTCTTTGCAGTGGGCACTCTGCCAGCATGTACACTGTGTCATTTAGTCCTCACCTTGGAGACCATTGCCCAAATTCCACAGAGGACGGAGGAGACTCAGTGCCCAAGGCACGAAACCAGAGAGACACCGCTACCCCACACTCTCCCCAGCAAAAAGGACGACCTCTTGGAAAGAGCTGCAGCCTAAGCTTGCATCTCGTCCTCTTGTGCCCAACACATGCCAGAATGGCAATACAAGAGAACAGAGCAGAGGGCAGAGAAGAGCTAATTGCAATGCTGGTGCAAAGTAAAGCTGTTGACTTAATCACAGGGTAAATGTGAGGACTGACCTTTTCCTGCTCTGTCCAACACTCCCTGTTCTACAGAGAACATAAACACGCTCTCCTCTGCTCGCAAAGCGAGGAATCTGACGCTGTGGCTACCAGGTAGGGACAAGGGGCCAGACCCATGCCGAGTGCTGGGTGTGGGAGGCAGGAGACACAGGCTCTGCTTCCTGCTCAGCTAGCACCTAGCTCTGTTGCCTCTCCAGACTCAGCGTCTCATCTATAAACCCAAGGGATGAGACCGAATAAAAGTTTTCAAACTGTGCTCTAGGGCAGCACTGTCCAATAGAAATAAAATACAAGCCAAGTAAATAAAGCTAAGTTTTCTAGTAGCCATATTTTAAAAAACAAGCACTTGAAACTGATTTTAATAATATATTTTATTTAACCTAATATATGTAAAATATCATTTTCACATGTAATCAATATAAAAATATTAATGAGATATTTTACATTCTTTTTTCCGGACTAAGTCTCCAGATCTGATGTGCATTTTACTTACAGCACACCTCAGCTCAGACTAGCCTCCTCTCTAGTGCTCAAGAGCCACAAGTGGCCACGGTTACCATACGGGACAGCAGCACAGGGGGTCCCACGAAGGGTCCCAGCTGGAAAGGGGGAGCAAGTGTACCCACTAGCCCTAAAAGGATTTCCCTTACCCAAAGGCTTTCTAGCCCTTGCTGCAATAAAATCCCACCATTTGCTTATCCCTTCTTGCTGTAAGGAAACAACCCAAGCCCAAAGCCAAGGAACCTGGGCCCTCAGGCAGACTTACCTACTATCTGTGTCCAAGCCTACAAAGTCTTTTTTCTCAAACGGGACACAGAGAAGGGGGATCTTATCCCCAGACTTGTCCGTGGCCCTATCCAGACGCTTGGACTCGAGCACAATGAAGAGCGACTCGATGAAGTCCTCGATCCTCTTCTCTACCGTCTCACAGTCCTCGTAGTTGGGGTAGAAGGCCACATCGGTGCGTGGCTGCTCGGTGATCTCGCCCTGCAGCCCAAAGACAAAGAGCCGGGAGTCGTAGAGCGTGGAGCCATAGATCTCCTTCTGCACGTGGAACTTCTCGAAGGTCTGCGGCCAGTCCTTGGCCGAGAAGCAGTCTGTGATGGTGATAAGGCCCACAACTTTGCGGTGGGTCTGGAAGTCGCCCCACTCGTTGTTCTCGGGTGGGTAGTGGTGCCTGTAGCGGATGTAGAGCACACGCTGGGAGTCCCGCACGCTGATCTGGCTCACAGAGGAAATCCTCTTGTAGATCCTGAAGAAGTTCTCTTCCGAGACGATCCCCACAGGCTGGACCACCACAAGGAGAGTCTGGTGGTCCTCAGCACACTGCATGTAGTCAGGGACGCTCATTTTGAAGTCCCTGCCCAAAGAGAAAAAAAGGAGACTTTGAGGTGCACACTTTTGAAGGCTGTTGGCCCGCTTTGGGACACAGTGATTCTGACACTTGGCACGTGGAAGGCAGGGTGAGCCCCGAGCAAAGCTGCGGAGTACATTTTGTGCTTAGAGTGTTGCATATGGCCACCACAGCTCTTATTCACAACACCATAACCCCTGGACTAGGCTTTGAGCCCCTGCTGAAAAGGGTCTGTCTCTTATCTTTCTATTTCCAGCACCTTGCCAGGTACCGATGTAGAGTCAGTGCTCAAAAATGTTTGCTGAAAGAATGAATGAACAAATGAATGAACTGCTCCCCCATCCCCTCAGCAGGATATAATGAAAAGAACCACAGTAGAATCACCAGATCTGGATTTGAACTCCCGTCTCCCTGAGCTCCTCAGCTGCAAAATAACGGAGATAATAAAACCTGCCTTATAAGACTATGGCTGGATTAAAGGAGGTTGCAAATGTCAGGCACCTGGTACTCGGCCTGACATAAAAGCAGGGATAATATACATCTATTACCCCTCCTTTATAAACTGTACCACCCTGAGAGAGTTTTCTTACCTCTCTGAGCCAACTTCATCAGATATGAAAAGAAAACATTACCTGACTCCCAGTACCATTGAAGAATGAAATCAGATAACCCATATGAAAGCATCTGGCCCATAGGAAGTCTCAATAAATTTTGCTGAATGAATGAATGACCAAATGAATTGAAGTCCCTGCCCAAAGAGAAAAAAGAAGACTTTGAGGTGCACACTTTTGAGGGCTGTTGGCCCAATTTGGGACACAGTGATTCTGACACAGACCATCATAATGGAGATGGCATTGCCCGGAAATCAGAAGACCATGTTCAACCCCTGACCCTAAACTAACCCTCTAGCTGACCTGGGGCAGGCGGGTGTGCTTCTCTTAACCCCAGTTTAATCATGAATAAAAATGAGGATAATAGGGGCTGGCCCCGTGGCAGAGTGGTTAAATTTGCACACTCCGTTTTGGCAGCCCAGAGTTTCACTGGTTCAGATCCTGGGCACAGACATGGCACCGCTCGTCAGGCCACGGTGAGGTGGTGTCCCACATGCCACAACTAGAAGGACCCACAACTAAAATATTCAACTATGTACTGGGGGAATTGGGGGAGAAAAAGCAGAAAATAAAAAAGAAAGAAGACTGGCAACAGTTGTTAGCTCAGGTGCCAATCTTAAAAAAAAAAAAATGAGGATAATAATATATACCTCAAGAGGTTAGTGAGTCAATATTCTGGTTATGATATTATATTATAGTTTTGCAACATGGTACCATTAGACGAAACCGGGTAAAGTGTACATAGGCTCTCTCTCTATTATTTCTTAGAACTGCAGGGGAATCTACATTATATCTCAAAATAAAAAGTCTGATTTTTTTAAAAGCATATTGAGATTAAACGAGCTCACTGTATCAAATACAGAAAATACCATACAAATAGGAAAACACCTAGCCCACCAGATGCACTCAGTGAACACTGCCGCTGCACCCATCAGTAGGTTCCGACTTCACAGTATGGGGATGGGTACTCATGGCCAGAGGCAGCTGTACCCCCAAAGCTAACCAAGCTTAGGCTTCAGGCCCCACTTGCAAGAGCCCCTTCCGTGGCCCTATTTCTAACTTTTTCTTAAATAGGAACTCCAAATTGCACAACCTGCAGGTCATCAAAACCTGACTGCAAATATCATGGCAGTAGCACTCCCAGAGGAAACAACAAAATTAAAAGGCCATTTCTACAAGACCTCTGTATACTTCTAATGGCAGGGATTTCCTCCTGGACTGAGAGGAAGAGGACTGGGAGGAATTTTGGACATGCAGTCCCTGAGGCCACCTAACTCATGATGGATTTTAGATCTGAACCTTCACCTTCCACAAACTTCAAAATATACACAGACAGAGGGGTATGAATAAGATTTTTTTTACAGGAATCCCTGGCCCCTTAACATATCTTGTTTCTATCCAGAACATAAATGGTTTATATGAATATTACTTCATTTAAACCTTTAAATATCACCTCAGCTTTACAGATGAAGAAAATGAAGCAAAGAGAGATTTATTACATTGTGCAAAATCATAGAGAGGCCACGTCATAGGCAGTATTTAAACCCAAGCCCCCCACTCCACGCTCACACTCTGAAGGATGATGTCACTCTCTCCTCTGCCTCTCTCCTGCTCCCTCTCTGCAAAACTTCTCTGGAGAGTCTTTTCTGCACCACCTTGGAAAGAAGCAAAATGACAAGACCCTTCCACAAAGAGGCATGGCACCCCTCGGGAGAAGTACCAAAATCTTAAGGGTTAGGGTTGAGGAGGGAGATCTGAGACTTTTGCATTTCTCGAAAGGAGGCATGGGTTTAAAAGAAACTGAAAAACATTTATCTGGTCTAAGCCTTCATTGTGCAGAGAAGAAAACGGAGGTCCAGAGCAGATGAGGAAAGGGCCTTAGTAACAAATACTGCCTCATCACAGCACCAAGAAAGCGCTGGGCACAGCTGAGGAGATGAAGGACCTACAATGCCCAGGAGAACAAGGGTTAGAAGAAAGAAAAAGTCACGCAAAGCCTTCTTTCTACAATACTGTACAATGACGTTTCATCAAGTTATTCAATATGCTTGCATCTCAAATTAAGGTAGGCTATATCAAGGTATAACAGGTTCCAGAAATTGAGAATTTGGAAGCATAACGGAAATTCCAACCCTTACTGTGGTTTTTCCCCAATTCAAGTGAGTGCTCAGTGGATCACTCTGTGCCGGGCACTACACTAGGCATGGAGTTCTCCCAAATACAGATCTTTATTAACATGTGCACAAATCACATATAGGCCTACCTCAGAAAAGTCACCTACAGGTAGATCAAATTAGTAAAATTTAAAGTGGCATGCATTATTAGCAAAAAGGATGCTGCTGTGGCATTAGCAGTAGGTGGCAGGGAACTCTGGTTGCACCAGTCCGCCAAGGTGGTTCAAGCACTGGCTGTGACTCTGTGTGACCAGAAGTGAATCATGGAGTTTTACTGACATTTAGTTTTCTCTTTTGTGAAAGGCTATAGTTGAAACTAATGATCTGTAAATCTCATCATTCACATACCCAATGTTTAGTGAGGACTTCTTATGTGCCAGGCTCTGTACAGATGAAAAGAGAGGGTCCCAGACATATTTGTGGGTAGAAAGAATTAATGTCATAAAGATGTTAATGCCCTCCAATTTGATCTATAAATTCAATGCAATTCTGCTTATAATTCCTACTAGATTTTGCACGGAATGTAACAAGTTAATTTATGGTCAAGAATAGCCAAGAGAGTAATGTCAGCATCATGGTGGAGTGAGCTGTTCCCTTAATCTCTCCCCACTAAGTTACAACCAAACAGACATTCAGTAACCAACAGAGGATTCCCTACAAAGCACAATAGGACATCTGAGAGATCCACACAGCCATACATCTGAAGGTTGGGGTACTGGATCCCCAGGAAGCAGTGGAAGGAGGTGAGCAGATCCCCTCCCGCTCCTCTTCCCCAGCAACAGTGATCTAGGTGTTATGGGTCCTCACACAACAGCTGCTGCATGACTGAAGTGGAGGCAGGGAACAGGCAGGCCTGCACGCAAGTGCTTTCACTTTCACAGTAGCAGCCCAGTCCATGGGAATGCTCCACACCGAGTGGCGCAGCTCAGCCACCGCGTGGGCACCCCCACCAGGCGCAGCAGCCCAGACAAACCACCCATGAGCGCAGAGCAGGCCCATATGCACAAAAGAGAGCATCCCTCCCCTCCCACCTAGCACAGCAGCTCAGGTGGTCCCCGGGCAAGGCAGTGGATCTGCACCAGAGCACCTGCACATGCATGTGTGACCTGTTAAGCAGTTGCAGCCAACGGGCAGATGCAGACAAGCCCTATCAGCACAACTTCCAATAGATGCAGTACGTTCATAAAAC